ATGGCAACACAAAAGAAAACATGAGAGCGGTGGAGATGAGGAGGTGTCGGCGTTCTGGCGATTTACTCGGAAGGCTTCAGTAGAAGCTGCTGGGAGTCCCAGCAGCTTCTAGGCAGAGGCGGACGTCGCTTTTGCTGAGGACAAGACCGCGTTGGCTCAGGCGGCTTTGCTGGCACACCCATCATCTACGGCTCCCATCTCCATCACCACGGACGCGTCGGACTACGCGGTCGGCGCGGTGCACGAGCAGTGGGTGGAGGGCGCTTGGCAGCCGTTCGTCTTTTTCAGCCGCCAGCTAACGCCCAGAGAACGCAGGTACAGTGCTTTTGACCGTGAGCTCCTGGGTCTTTATTTGGCCGTGCGGCACTTCCGTTTCATGCTGGAAGGCCGGGAGTTTACGGCGTTTGTCGACCACAAGCCACTCACTTTCGCCATGTCTAAAGTGGCGGAGCCTTGGTCGGCACGTCAGCAGCTGCAGCTTTCCTACATCTCTGAGTTCACCACAGACATAAAGCACGTGGCTGGCAAGTCGAACCTGGTTGCAGATTGCCTCTCCAGAGTCGTCATCGGAGCCGTCCAGTTGGGTCTGGACTATACTCGTATGGCGACGGACCAGGTCACAGACCCCGGCGTCCAGGCTCTGAAGGTGGAGGGCGCGGGGCTGCGCTTGGAGGAAGTGGTGTTCGGTGACGCGGGCGTTACCCTCCTGTGTGACGTCTCCACAGGCCTGTCGCGGCCAGTCGTTCCCGCCAGCTGGAGGCGCTCTGTGTTCGAGGCAGTGCACGGACTGTCACACCCCGGCGTTAAGCCTTCGGTGCGCTTGGTGGCCGCGAAGTTCGTCTGGCATGGGCTGAAAAAGGACGTGAGGACTTGGGCTGGTGAGTGCGTGGCTTGTCAGCGCGCTAAGGTGCACCGCCACACGAAGGCCCCTTTGGAGCGTTTCCTGGTGCCTGAGAGGAGGTTTGACCACGTCAACATCGACCTGGTTGGTCCATTGCCCTCCTCTCAGCGCTTTTCCTACCTCCTCACCATGGTGGACAGGACGACCCGTTGGCCGGAGGCGGTCCCGCTCATTTCGACGTCGGCCGCGGACGTTGCCCGGGCCTTCATTGCAACGTGGGTGTTATTAAAGATTAATTAAATTAAAGAGACGAACAAGAGACAAACAACAAAATGAGTGCTGGACCGAGCAAGAAGCTAAAGACATACCACTTCCACCCAGAATGGGAGGAAGAATATTTTGTTGTGATGTCACTTTCAAAGGTTATTTGCCTTATTTGTAAAGCAAGTGTCGCTCTGCCAAAGAAAGGTAACGTGGAGAGGCATTATCGGAGTGTTCACAAGGCATATGACAGCGACTTCCCTCCGAGTAGCGAGTTGAGAAAGGTCATGTATATTGCTACACAAACATTATCTCGCAGTCTTATGCCCCGGCCACACGAGGACGAAAACGGTCGTTTGCGTTACTGTTTAGTGTCATATAGACCGTTAGGCCACACGAGGACGACCGAATACGGCACTAAACGACTGCGTAAACGATAACGGGTCCCAAGGTGGATAGAACGGCATACGCAACGCTCTGGGGGGTCCAACGGCTCCGTGTGTACGCCCTATACGATCATTTTCTGATAATGATGAGGCAATAGCCCCGCCTCTGCTGCTCACCCCCGCGTCAAAGTAAACTGCACACTGAATTCAGATTATTTATCTTTCTCTCGATATGGACCTAAACGCGAGTGAAGTCTAATCTGACAGGACGGAGACACGCAGCTCTGCTTACCTGCAGCTCCTCCCGCTGTGATGCGGCGGTGAACGGAGTAAAACACACATTTCAAGTCAGATCATCACCCTTAGCTATTTTAATTACCTCTCAAACTACCTAAACTAGTTATAAATATGTTTATTTTTACTGTCGGCCGGGTCACTCATTACTGGATCAGCTGCTGCATGAAACAGACACTGGCGCTGTCCGAAGAGAGGGAGGAAAAAGAGAGGCTCCGTGTATTTTATCATTATAATATATAGATTCGTTATTCATTTGTTTTAAAGCTCAATAAATAACAAAGAAGACCTTTGACCGGCACTTTTATAATTTTGTCGGAAGATTTCAACTTTAATACACGTTGACTGGCGAAAAACTCTGCCCGGTTCCCTCGGCCCCCACCGCGGAGAATAAACAGAAGGGCAACCATGACAACCATGCTTCTTCGCTGCTTTTGTGGAGGAAGTTACAGCGCCACGTACAGGCTCCTGCATATGTACTGCAGCTTCTCCAGCGGTTGGAGCTAAACGGAGCTGTCTCGTGTGGACAGACACTATCCGGATGACTATTGCGTGTGAACGGAAGCTTTTTTGCGATTGCGTTTGCGTTAATCCTATGCGTTTAGCCGTTTTCGTCCTCGTGTGGCCGGGGCATTAGTGTCGCCAACTCGTTTCTAATATGCAAAAAGACAAACAAATGGGTATATGGTCGGTGTATTTTCGATCTTTCCGATCCAGAGTAGATCTCTCTCCCCCGTCTCTGTGCGAGGGGGCGGGGCAGTTTACACACACGCAGCTGCTCCATGCAGCAACACACGGTGGGGATGGCGGAGAAAAGCGCTCCAAGGTGTGGTTAAATGTTACCCGTCTTGAGGTGGACAATGCTCGTTGTCAAGAGTGTTTAGCATGTGAGGGCGGTAAAACGAGCAATTTGTCTAAACATTTAGCAAAAGTGCACCACATTCAGACGGAGAAATGCACCGGGTTTGACTGTCTTTCTAGCAGCTCTGTAGCCCCATCCACGAGGAACGTTTCCACGTCAGGTATTATGTATGCTTGCAGCAACACACGGAGTTAACACAATTATACAAACATGGGTTAATGATTAGAGGTAACTGAGTTACTCTTTATTTTGTTAAAGTTTCAGCTATTCTGTTCACAGTTCTGTCATCAGATTATTTAATATGATTTGTTAAAACATTGCTGTTTCTTTTGATGTGAAATATTATTTATTTAATTTAAATAAAAAGCAATGTCAATTTTGTAAACAATTTGTTAAGTTAATTTAATAATATATGTATTTTTGAATCAAGTATTCATCTTTGTCTTCATTGCTAGTTTCCACATGCCTAAAACAACCTCAAGCTAAATCTAAAAGTTGATGGCTAAATAAGAGCGTTTGAGAAATTGTGCAAGGCATACAGTAATAGTCCGAATAATCGATTAATCGTTTCATTAATCGATAGATTAATCGATTATCAAATGAGTCGTTTGTTGCAGCCCTATTGTAGTTATCCCATGTATAAATAAAACGTGTTATTCAGCAACCCTTGCAATTTGGGATTTTATTTTTGGTTGGTAGACCTCGGTGAGCTGGTCATTTCAAAAGTAGCTCACCAGCCAAAAAAGTGTGGGCACCCCTGGTCTACGGGCAGCCGTTGAGAGTTCCAGGGGATTTCCTCCCTAACGCATCGGCTCCCTGGTCGGCGTCGGCCCAGCGGGCTTTCCTGCAGGACGCCGCTGATACCTTTGCTCCGATCCCTACTACTCAGCACGGTACTCAGGTGTCCCAGGTTCCCGCAGAGCTCCGCTCGGCGGAGCACGTGTTCATCCGGCACGATGCGCACAGAGGCCCCCTGCAGCCCCCTTATGATGGGCCTTTCCGGGTCTTGGAGCACGGGGACAAGCACCTGGTGGTCGACCTGGGTGGCAAGGCCGAGCACGTCTCGGTGGACCGGGTGAAGGCTGCTCACCTGGACTTGGACCAGCCTGTGGTGCTGGCTCGACCTCCGCGACGGGGCCGCCCCCCGGCCTCGTCCCCTGTCACGGATTTAAGACCTGTTGTTCCGGTCCCTCCCCTTCCGGGGGCCGCACAGGCGGAAGTCACTTTTCCGACTCCCGTGCTCAGGAGTCGTGGGGGTCGGCGTGTCGTTCCTCTTCGCCATGCTGATTTTGTTTATGTGTGCATTCTGGGGGGGCTTGTGTGGTGACACCATGTGGGACCATAATTCACCTTGCTTATTGTGTTGCCACACGGACCCTTTAGTGGGGAACACCTGTAGCTTTAGCTGCCATTCCTGCTAGCTCATCAGGCAGAGCAGTGCATGTGTTAATCTCTCTGATATGAATGGATAATAAAGATTGGAACTCCATTCTTAATACACCGCCTCCGACTCTCTTTTCACGGCACTACAAAATATATATTAGTAAAATAGCCATAAGTATGTCTAAATAGTAGTGCTTGAAGTCAGGGGCGCCGTAAGGGGGTGAAAAGTTAGGACGATTCGAAGGGCCCGTGACTGGCAGGGGCCCAAACAATTTTAGAACATTAAGAAAAAAAAATTTAAGTAACCAATGTGACATCCTTTCATGGGGCCCAAAATCCCTGGCGGCGCCCCTGCTTGCAGTCTTTGAGGGGTTGAGTTGTGAACCGGGAGGGAAATCTAGAATCAGAAGGAGATAGCAAACCAGGAAAATAACAAACCAAATCACACCGGGGAAACATTGATGACAATCTGACAGAGAACACAAGGGCATAAATACTCACAGGACTTATCAAACTGACAAGAAACAGCTGGGGAGGGCAATGAAACACAAGGACATGTCTTCATTTTGTGAACGCAGTAGATGGACACCTCTTTTAACAAGAATAGCCTACTGTGTATGATTTATGATTTCATTTTTTTTTTTTCATTCAATTTCATTTCGAGGTCATCTACAAGTAACGGAAACATAGAAGTTGTTACAGAAATACATTTTAAAGTAACCCTCCCAAACCCTGATGAGATTAAGTCGGTGTGCAACTACGTCTTGAAAACACCTTGAATTAAATTAGCTTATTTTTTGTTTTCTAAGTTACTTTCCCATTTATCCCAGCTTATTTATCACAAATTATTCATTCACAACAAATATGGTTATTCTTAACGTACCTCAAGAATATATGTTATCCCTCAGCATTAGGGGATATACACAAATATAATGCTGCCCTCTGGTGGTTAGAAAACAAAGTGCTGTTCAAATCAAATTAAAATAGTCTTTAATGTAAAAAACATAAACAAAACACATATATAACAAATAATATGTTCACATTACAACCATAATCACTGATAATAACATTTGATTTCAACCCTTTGTGTTCTTAATACATTCAACAGTGCAAAACCCATAATTCTAGTAATAAAATAAATGCTTTGGCATGAGGAGAGGAACGTGTAGCTTATTTCACTTTGTATGCATTTTCTGTCTGCTGGCTGTACGGTATATCATAAACTAACTAGTATGAGATTAGCATTTAATCGTGTCTTAATTGACATACTGTAACATATCCTTTTGTTAAATAAAAGAAAGAAACATGGGTGTTCGAAGTAACACAAATGACAATATAAAATGTGTAGTCACATGACCTCACATCCCTAAAGTGGATACTGATGACCTTTGACTGTTAAATCACCACATTTAACTTATCAGGTCAAAATAACCTGAGTAACAGATTGTACATTTACTCTGATAGAGGATCCATATTCTGTAGTATATACTGACCTATTCCATTTCTATAAATCCCATTACAAACTCAGAAATAGTTCTTATTATTAATCCATGCATGTCCTCTGGAACGACTTCTCTTCCACCTTGTTGACACTGGAGTGGTTTGTGAAGGTTGAAAAAGTGTTCCAGTGCATACAGCTTTTAAAACGCTGAAAGCCTTTTCCAGTTCTGACATTATTCGTTTGTCTCTTTTTTATTAAGAGTATTTTACAGGGTTCAATAAATTCTCCAATATGGAAAGTCAAGAGCTTCTCTTCAGATCTTTTTACAAGATTATACTAAAGGCACTGAGAAGAGTTACAGAGAAGAGACTACATGCTTACTGGTTTTTAAAAAAAGTCCAAAGAAATGCAATAAAAACACCTGGAGGAAAAAAATCCACGTGTCTATCAGTAGTAAATATGTGGACTTTGCAATATTAAAGTAGACTTTACATCACGCTCTAATCCAGAGCAATTTACAACGAGGCGAGTAGTATAAGTCTCACTTTGAGACAATCCCAACATGGAGCAGCTGATCACAAAATAAGCTCCACTCATTAGGTGTCCACGATGAAGTCCATGTATCTTTGAACAACTCAGGTTCATTGTTATGGTTTTCAACTTTTCACACTATGCCGGAACGTCACCGTAGAATTTGGAGGAAAAGCTTGATGTCGGATGTCTCTGTCGGATGGAAACTATCACAACAAGTAGCAAAATGCCAGTTGCTGGAGCAGATCGGCCAGGTGGACCCTGCATGTTGCTGTCGATGAGACTTTTATTGTCCTCTTCCCTCTTTAAATGTCCATCAGACTGAGCGGTGAAGCTCATTCAGACAAAGTGTGAGAGCAGGAATCTACTGGTTGGTGCTCAAATAGATAGTAGCAGTTATTGTCCGTCTTATAACAGCGAAGATACTTGTGGAGAGATCTTTGCCATAAGAAATACTAAAAAGTTGGGAGTGCTCAGAAAAAGGTGTGGACACGGGCCCTTATTGAACATTTAGCCAGGTACAGAGCTGTAGTGGTTGTTGCATTGTTCGCACATCAGTCCAAAAACGATACAAAGCAGGGTTGAGCGTCCGGTTTCTTGCTCAAGGACAAGTTTGTACGTCCATAGGCTACGTTTCTTCTTTTATCCCACCCTTGTGATTGAGCTGTCACCGTCCAGCGGAGGACTTCCTGTTGATGTTGGCCAGGCTGTGTGCCAGTCTCTTGGTGAGGAGCGGGTGGGATTTACCGCAGTAAGTGTGTGTCGTCGTCAACAGCTGCTCTTCCAACGGATCCAACAAAGAAGTCACTGGGTCGGCGCCGAAAGGGTACTGCAACGAGAAAGTGATTTGTGGTTTAGATTTGGTGTGATGTGTAGTTTTTACATTGATCCAAGCATAATTTACCAAAGCACTGTTTATTAGTCTAGACTAAAATGGTATGGAGACTTTTCCAATTAAGATTCCTCATCCTTTCTCCCCTGAGGACTTCTCTCAAACTTCTCTTGTTCTCTGCTTTCGGCAGCATTTGTGCTTTCCGTGGATAGATTACAAATCTGCAAGCCATGCTGATCTCATAGTAGATTCCAGATTAAACTAGGGCTGCACGATTTGGGGAAATAATCTAATTGCGATTTTTCTGACAGATATTGCGATTCGATTTGTGATATTTGTTTTTAAGCGACAAATATATAACTCCGGCTAGGAAGGTCGTATCAACGTGCCCCCGTCTCTAGCACCCTGGCAGCCCGAGCTACGAGTGAAAGAACTAAACTTACATGAAACTTCCGTTGGGTTGCTTTAAAGTCAAGCTTCAGTTTAAGATTCACCCTGTCATAGAAACATGTGATGGAGCATTACTAACCTGACTCAGATAGTTTCACCAAACCATCTAGGAAAGCTCCATTGGAAGCCATTTGGAAAAGTATTTCAAAAATACTTGGCAGGTCAATCTGTCGATCACCTTCTATCATGGGCCACTTCTGATTGGTTAACAATGACTGGTACATATGGAGCACAGCACTTCTGATTGGTGTGGATGACTGACACACAATAAGAACAAAACAAAAAGTCGCAGGCTTTGCGATTTGATAATTGCATCATTTAAAATAGCGATTTAAAACAAATCGATTAATCGTTCAGCCCTAGATTCAACTGATCGCTCAGACCGGGGGGAACATAAAGCGTCCGACTGTTGGAGTCACTTTTTATGTTATAGGCTTAGCGTCCAGTGATACCCGGGGATTACAGGAGAGGGTTCCCGTCTTCTCGATAATGAAGGAGCCTTTACAGCGCTCCGAGGAAATCAAAGGGGAATTACCATTCTTTATGCCGGCTCATTTGCTTGTGGATAGCTCTCTGATATTGGGTCACAAAGAAAATTGTGTTTTTATGAGCAGATACTTTCACACACACACACACACACATGGGCTGGTCATAAAGTTGCATTTACAGTTGCTGTATTGATTTTGTGCGGCTGATGGGGCGCTGTCGGTGTGCAGCCTCAGACTCTAAACGCACCATCGGCTGTAAAATTTAACTGCGGTTTCCTGGGCTCAGCTTTTTTCCATCGAGGGAGGGGAGGAGGGTTTATGAGGGATGGCCCGCTGAGGTCTGTGTGAGACAGACAGGCAGACAGACAGGGAGGAGCTGCTTATATCCCCATCTCTTTGTTTGAAGAAACAAGAGAATGGACACTGATTTAGGACTTGTCTCAGCTAATATATAAACAACTCAACTTAGAGGTGGAATAATGACCTTATAGGGGGAAAGTGCTAAACATAAACAACTTTTCTGAAAAAAACTTAATAATTAAACATATTTTAAGGAAAAATGCCATAAGTCGGCTTGTCCCGGCCTTTTACGTTTTTCTATTTGCGTTTTTTTCTTCAATTTACATTATTGTAACAAGAATGTGTTCAGATTTTGGACAAATGGACAAACAAAATTCATCAGTTTACACAACATCTATGACATTCATCAGTTTTGTATTGCGGGGGCATGACTATATCTTTCATTTTTCGATATTTGATTTGAAGTGATGCGTCGGACACATTACATAGCATTTAGCTGACGCTTTTATCCAAAGCGACTTACAATAAGTGCGTTCGACCAACAAGATACAAACTTGAAGAAAACAGAATCATATAAGTACAGCAGGTTTCATAGAGCCAAAACATTTCAAGTGCTACTCAACTGGCTTTAGATAAGCCAGTCCTTTATTAGTATATAAGTGCTCTGTTAGTAATTCTATCGCTCGAAGTGGAGTCGAAAGAGATGAGTTGTCAGTCTCCCCCGGAAGATGTGTAAGCTATCTACTGTCCTGATGTCAATGGGGAGCTCATTCCACCATTTTGGAGCCAGGATAGCAAACCCACGTGTTTTACTAATATTCATGGTTTTGTGATTTTGGTGAACAGAAAGCTAGCTTGTAGCGTCTTAACTCAGATGAGATGTCAACTTTAACAAACATGAAAAGGAACGGAAAATAAATTCATGAATGACTTGCTGTCACTATCACACGTTATTTTGCTCTCATGCTTTTTTTAGCTGCCAATGTAGCACTGCCCTGTTTGTTGTTATTCCCTCCCAACACTTCACAGATAGCCTGAGGATCTGCTGCAGATGAACAAGAAGTGGATGAAATGATCTGTCCAGTGAACTGAAACACACAGAAGATCAATCCAGACTCCTGGCAAAAACAGACTTAATCACATATCTATGAAAGTGTCAATACAGATGAGAGAACCAGTGTTTTAGTGCAGCACAGGTACATGTGTGTGTCCTGCTCTAATTGATCCTCTCCTATAAAGCCACAGGTTTAACTGCAGGCCATGGATAAGGTATGGATCAGCCATCTCTGTGATGTACAGTCAATGCTTTGTTAATAGGAAAGCAATGACACTTCCACCGTTGATGGCATCATTAAGTAAATGCCACCGGTGTCGTCAATATCATTACACTGCTGGTAAACAACCCATAAACATCCCCCTGGGGGAAATTAGCTTTCCAGCACAGACAGTCCAAAGTCACTAACGCTTATGGTGTCTCGGGTCAGCACCAATCCAAAATCTCATCTAGCAGGGTGAAGGAACGGGGCAGTGGAGCGGAGCAGGGGTCACTGAGGTCAGAAAACAGCTCCTTTCATCAAATGCTGCACTAAAATACACCACGGTAACTTTGGAGCAACTTGGACTTTGTACTCTGATGAATTTGGTCATGCAGTTACACACCAGCCATAACTGAATGAAAACTCAACTTCTGGCACGTGTCCCTGGTGTTTCCACCACTGAAAAAAAGATTTCTATGGAGAGAGCGGTGCCGCCCAACGTTCAAAAATATTGAAGCGTGCTGCGCTCCGGTTTCAATTATTTAAACTTTAACCTTGCTGACAACCTTTTAATGCACAACCAATCAGAAGACAGCTTTGGGAAGCAACGCAAGCTAGTAGGGAGGTAACCAGAAACAAAACGTAGCTAGCTGTTTTAACCCCAGTCACGATGAAAAAACATTATTATAAGATGAATGGAAAACCAAGTAATCTGAGGGCAAACATAAATACCATTCAAGCTGATAAACCTCGATCAGCTGTTTTAAAGTATTTTTTCTCGTTCATGCCCACCTTTCGTATGGCTTCGTAAACGGCCCTGAAGGCAGGTTGCTTGTGGTCGTGGTACACCCCTCTGTTTCCGTGCAGTATGTTGATACCATCCTCCTCAGCTGACGCACAGTTACTGCCATAGATGCAGTGATCTGGGCGGTAATTCCACATGCAGGGAAACTCCAGCAAACACTCTGCGAACACACACACACACACACACACAAACACTTTAGCCAACAAATCAGTGCCAGTCCCAGTTTACTATACATTACTGAGGGCACTACTGACTTAAAGGGGACATTCAACATCAAATAATTCCTCTTCAATTTGTCTTTATGGCTAAATATGATGATGTATGAACATGTACAGTTGTGTATAATAATCAGGGGTGCACATAACTTTGTTGCCCTGGTTCGCAAAGGAGCACCTGGAGATGTTGCTTGGTGCGCATCCCTAAAATGAAATAAACCGGACCTTTTGAGGGGTACTTGACTTTATGAACGGGGGTGGGGGGTTAGGTGCGCTAGTGAGCACTCCCATGAACTGTTCGCCCGTGCCTTGTCGTAGACTGCTTCTGGGAGCTCGTCCAACCCGATGATTAATGTCCCTCCTTGCCTGTACATGCTACCACCATACGTATAGTGTGTGTGTGACAGATGGCTCTCTACGTCCTGTGGTTTATGACACCTTGTACAGCCCACCTCTCTCTCTCTCTCTCTCTCTCTCTCTCTCTCTCTCTCTCTCTCTCTCTCTCTCTCTCTCCTCTCTGATACTCTCTCTCTCTCCTCTCTCTCTCTCCTCTCTCTCTCTCTCTCCTCTCTCTCTCCTCTCTCCTCTCTCTCTCCTCTCTCTCTCTCTCTCTCTCTTCAAAAGCTTTATTAGCATGACCATATTTACATACAGTATTGCCAAAGCTATGTATAGTTGTAACATCTATACAAAAATACACACAAATAAACAAATAAACAGTTATAAACAAACTGCTAAGAACATGTTTGTTTTTTTACAAGGAATACAGATTCATTTCATTCATATAATACAAAATAGAATATGATATATATTTATATTCCCCAAGAAGTATTTTTTGTTTTTCATTTTTAAATATTTAGCTTTTTTCAAATGATCCGGTGCTCCTTTCTTGGTGGTGGGTGCGCCTGCGCACCAGTTATGTGCAGCCCTGATAATAATAATACACATGCTTGGAGTGCAGCCTTACCAGGGTTGTGGTGGAAAATGATATTGAGAAGGTCCTGGTCCCCCCAGGTAATGTTGAGTTTGTATTTCTGAAGTAGAGGCATCAGCAGCTCCTCCCAGCGCAGCCCCACAGACGTCATGTCATTCTGTAAGCACAATTTATTACACAGCTTAGTTGAATACTTGATTCTGGTCAATTGGGACGTTTCAGAGGTTATGAATACTCGATAACACACCGCTGCTAAGGAGGATCAAGGTAGAGTGGGAAAGAGGTTAAAAGACAGAGCAATCAACAGAAGAAGGCAGAGAGGAAGTCAACACTAACAGGAACATGGTATGTGCTGCTCTGGCATTGTTGAAGGACTGTGGAAAAGAAACTATGAACAGACTTGGACAATAATAGTCAACATTGATCAGTGCTGCCGTTCATTATAAATTGAGTTGTTTTTGCTGCAGTTCCAGCCGCCTCGCTGCACATCAATTCAAATAGGTCTTTACTGTGTGATCATAATGCCATGGTAAGTGAAGGCCTCACATTAAATGGTTTCACAGCAGGAGAAGGACATCTAGTGGCCAAACAAAGAAGCACAAGAACAAATCTCTTCTTGAAAATGTGTCTTGAGCCCCACCTTGAAGAACATGCTCCTCATCCTGGTCATGTTCATGAGCATGACCCCTGAGTTGATGCCCGTCTTGCCGTAGTAGGGGTGGCGGGCGAAGCGGTTGTACCAGGCGATGCGGGGCTCCTCGTGCTCAGGGGCCATGGCAGCCAGCTGGGAGGAGTTAAAGCGGGTCAGGAAGGCCCAAAGGCGGTCCACGGGCTGCAGGAAGAGGATGTCCGAGTCCACGTACACCACGGAGTCTATGTCCTTTAGGATCAGCTGCACATATTGGAACAGACACACAGAGGCATGTCACTGAGGAGACTAATTATGTGAATACAGTCTGCAGTGGTGCTTATTGGCCAGAGTATATTGAATTGTGACAATTTATATGTGTTTTGGTTTGTTGATTAATAGTTTTTATTCAGTTTTATTATATCTAAGAATGTGTAGGACTATAGCTGAGAAAAATGTCTCTGTTATAGGAGCTATAGCACAGGCGAGTATAGCTGTCAATCTCAATTTTATTTGAGGATTTAAAACACATTTTTCTATCCATAGTGCTCCAAGTTTTTCAGACCTTTAATGTGTTGTTATAAGAACATATTGGGAATGTCATAATGACGTCAGATTTCCACTGTGGTTTTCATGCTTTCTATCAGAAACTCACAGGTAAGAAGAGCCTCTGGGAAGCGCAGGGTTTGAAGAGCTTCTTCCACTCGGCTGCGTTCTCACTGGGGAAGCTGATGGAGTACACTGTGTAGTTGAACCTGGAGCGAATGAAACCTGGCCACGACTGCAGCTGGAAGACAAACGACATTTAGGGTTAGTACAAACTCTTAACATTTGCACACTATCTGTTTGCATCTCACATATTGATCTATTAGTACGATAAGCAGTATTTAATTTCACTGTAAAGCATTTCATTTGACATTTTCCTAAGTCATCTTATGCTATTTTTCTTGCAACATTCTCTCTCTTGCACTATTTCATTCCTACTCTGTTTCTTCTTGCACTATTCATTTTGTTTTATAATAATAATAAAGCTTTACGTTTGAACTCACAGCTTCCATGAAACTGGTGTGCAGCTGATCCTCAGCGAAGATGTGCAGCTGGAGGTGTTTGATGCTGAAGAGCACAGCGGACTTGATCATGGTGAGGGTCTCCTCCAGCCTCTCCCCACAGGCCACCACAGCCAGGTGCATGGGGGCTTCAGACTGGACGCTGCCCCCCCCTGCCTCCACCTGACCCCGCTGACGCATGATGTACCTGAGAGAGAGGATGGAGAGGATAACAGATGGTATAAAAAGTGAATTCTAGAGACCTGGGGATAATAGTAGGTTTACAAATATTGCAAGTATTATTATATATCTTTGTTGAACAAGACCATGTATAAAAACACGTGAATCTCAAAAAGACACGATGCAATATTCCAGATTATAGCTCTGGGGAGGTACACACAAAACAAACATTTAATAATGCCTATTACACTAACAAATAAAAGAGATCAAATACAGATGTATACAATATAAATACTAGTACTCTGGTAGCAAGGTGGCGTAGGATTTAGGATCAGTTATTTGACCCTTGACTTTGAGGTCCAAATAAATTGAGTGCTAAAAAAACAAAATATTGACATACTCGAGCTCTACTTTTCTACTCTATCAATGTCAAGCCACCAGAGAATGGTTTAACGTCATTATGCCATTTTAGCAAATTCTCTAGAGTATGCCACCCCCACATTTAGCAGTGGATATAGAGTATGTGATAAAATGATGGCCCTTTGTTTTCACCAAAATAGCAATTACTCTGATTCCAGCTTCTCAAATGTGCTCTTATGTTTGTATTTGTCATAGTAAACTCTATGTTTTGGGACTTTTGGTCAGACTAAACAAGCAATTTGAAGATATCACTTATTTGTGATATATTGTCTGGTGTTTTCACAGACCAAACCACTAATGCAGAATCTATTAAATGATTATTAAACAGTAGTAGGCTTTATCCCATGGATTTTGCTATGACTCACTGGACTCAAACTTGCTAACAGTGAACTTTGTAAGGGATTAGAAAGCTTAATACAATTGTTGACTTTATTAGCTTCTCCCCCTATTTATCTTAACATCTCCTCTCTAACCTGCATATCTGGCAGACACACACACAGTCATGTGTGAAAGCAATAAGGCAGTAAAGCTAGTTTCACAGGCTACAAAGTGCATTTGAACAGTGAAAATATGTTAAATTGTAAGGCAAGTTTGGTCATGCTCTACTATGTATCTGATGTATTAATTAATCTCGAAGATCGCACACCTGTTCAAATCTCGCGTTACTACAGTAATCACAGAAATCTGTAATGATGTTTGGAGCCGTTTTGTCAGTGTCACATTCCTATACATAACAAGTGTGGTACAGAGTAGATACCTACAACTTTACTCGTACTTCTTGTATGAAATGCATTTTTCCCCAAGTTGTACCCCATTAAAGTAAGAAAAACCTGCATAATTTAGTCCTACCTATTGTACCAGTGTGGGCTTTGGGGCCCGGTTTTGTCCACGGCTCCTCGCCTGATTCCGGGGACTCTCGGTGGGATGAAACCTCTCGGACCGTTTCCACCGAGCGACAAGTCCGAGTAAAACAGTTTACTGTAAACATACACACCCGAAAACACGGCAAACACTGTGCACAGCATTAGTGCACGAATGTAGCGCCGCATTTTGGAGTTTTAAAACGCAACTTGGAGCTAAAGTCATGACACAGAACTAACTAGTATGAAATAATAACTGCAAAGCTTGACGCAGTGACAACACACTTCCGGTGCACGTTTAAAAAATAAAGTTCTCATCAGCCGTTGAAACATTGTTTCATGTTACACTTTGCAGCGTTGTTCAACATTTCTCCCACTTGTCAAGCTTTTAAACAAATGATGCAGTAGCTTTATATTGAGTCAGAAATACATTAATGTTATGTCTAATATGACAGATATGCTAACTACATTATATAACACACACGTGCATGCTACGTCACTAGATAATAATACTAGGCCATGCATATTATTAGCCATACAACAATGTAAACACTTTAAGGATTTAGCCTTTTGGAGCTATTTTGTATCGAACCTACATTACAGTAAGTCTATCTTTTTGCTTGTTTTGTTTTAAGGTTTGATACCTTAAAAATGTTTACATCTCACTCACCAGAAACCTTAATGGGTTTCACATCTATCTGTTCTGGAAATGTAAGACCCTTTAATAATCTAAATAATGCCCATAATCTAAATTATGGGCATTTTTTCCCCCTTAAATGTATAATAGATCATAGCTCAGATATTTAGCTCCTACAAATGCATCACATTTGGCAAACTCACTACTGAAAGTTGGGAGGCTCGGAAATACAACATAATACGTAATATGTGTGCAATCTTATTTGTATATTGTAAAACTATCTGAACATTTCGTAATATAGGCTAGTGACTAGTCTAAATTGCTTATGAGGTTGTGCAGCTCTGCAGTCGTTGTCGTTATCACAATTGTCAGGCTTTTATTTTGAAGGCCATGCAATTCATCCTGGTTTCTCTTTTCCACCTTCTTCACTTGATGCTTCTTCATGCAACAGAAGCCGGAGGTCGAGACCCTAAATGGGGGGAAGGGTGGGAGCGATAAGGAAAGTTGGTTCTCCCCTCTCCCTCCCCCCTCAGCTGTGTCTACTCTGCAGCAACTCTCAATTCATTTCACCTCTGAAAAGAGCCTTTCAGGGCTTTAAGTGACTAGTCTTTATTGTTGTGGATCCACAAGACCTAAACTACATTTCCATCAAGTGTGGGGAAATCAAGGTAATTGACTGTAGTGGTTGATTAATTAGTTTGTAAACCATACCATATACTCAGAACTACTGTAAGCCTATATAATCAGGGCTATACGATTTGGAATTTTTTAATAAATGCGATTAGTTTGACTGATTTTGCAACTGCGATATGTAGGCTACACAATATTGGGGGATTGATAAATGACATCATTATCCAATAACATTGAAAAATACATTACAAAATTATCATAATTCGATTTTTTAAGGAGGATTAAAAATGTGCAGGAAAAATGTAGAGTAGAATCTGATTTGTTGGCCGGGATATTGTTCTTCATCGTGTGCAGTGTGTGGGAGAGAAACTTTAGGATTTTAGCCTTTGCCGACCATTGACATGCACAGAAACTTATATAACACTCTACAGGAAAAGGGAAAACCCTAAGAAGCATGATAGGGCCTCATTAAAGTTGTAGGCAAAGTGAAACGACAAAGTTAAATGATATCTTTTGTTTACATTTTCTTACTCAGACATGTAATAAACAAGTTCACACATTTTTAAAACAATTGAACATGGCAAAGCATGACACAAAATAAAATAACAGGTGACAACCAACATATATTTTAAGTGTCTTTCAAAATGTTGCCACAAACGAATGACAGATGTGAGTCGGGACAGTTCTCACAGGTCCACACAGCTAGTCCCAGCTAGTGGTGAACCCCTGAGATCTGCCACACAGGAAACGATGCTAAACAAACTAGAGACAAAGCCTGTCCCACAATATACCGAGACCGTAATATTATCATGCCATGACAGTTCTCAGGATCTGTGCTAAAAATGTTAAAAGTAAAGATCTGGACAGTAACACTGCTATGATGGATAATACAACCACATCAAAACATTGTAGTACAATTTTTTTTTAGAAATGTATCTCTACAGGTTTCATAAGTTATCGTGTTGATCTATAGTAGTTCTGCTGGGGGTTTAGTATATTTCTAAAGCTCCCCCACTTCGCTACGTCAAAATGGAAGAAGCGGTTTTCTTAAGTCCGTCACACCGCAGGCCGTCACATTAATTGTGCGTGTCCAGAAGTCAAAGACCCATTTTTCGTTGCAGAAGCACCACGCTTTGTCCGAACTGGGTCCACGGTGGGGGCCAAACAGCATGAGCCCCCTCTGCTCGTCCACTGTGGCGCTCAGCAGGTGCAGCGGAGATTTAAAAAGGAGTATACCGGAGTCTTTTACAGCCACTGTCCCTTAACTAAACACTACATGTGGTTTCTTTCCGTCTCTAAAACAAACATTTCCATGGTAAACCTGACTCTTTTTTTTTTCTTCGAGAAACATGAATATGTATGAAGAACTGTTCCTGTATTTGCGTCGATATATCTCATTCTGTGGAGGTCATGTGATTGACAAAACACCTTTTTTTTTTTTTTTTAAATCCTGTCTGGACGAAGTATGGACAAAGTTTCAAGACTGTTATTAACAACAAAGCTGCATTAAGTGATTTTCTTTCATTAGCATGACTCTGCAAAGAAACCCACCCCTGAGAGACAGATTGTAGCTGTTATGGCTAATATGTTAGCATTGTATTCCTCTTGGATTAGCGTTTCTAGTGTGATTGGTCATTATTAGCCCAATATCTATGAGAGCTTGACAAGAATCTGGGGATACAATCCGTATCGTGATACAGGTGTAACAATTAAATACTGTCGTGCTATTAAAAACACAACTCTATGTGCAACAAAAAAAAAGTAAAAGAACATTTGTAGTTTTTTTAATGCAATCAAAACAGCGGGATTTGCATTTATCACAGTCCCTGCATCACCATACATGAGAGCACTTCTACCAGTGCAATCTGAGCCACACTGGCTGCATGTCAAATATTAAATTAAGATCAATAGTGTTTTGACGACACTCAAGTGTAATGACATTTTTTGACTTACAACACTAATATTTAGCCCATTTTTAGCTCAGGGTTTATCTGCACCTCTATCGTAGCGAGTTAGCTAGTAAACTTCAATCTTCTGGGATATCATGTTTACCAGGTAGTTTAACAACAGCTTGTCAATAGACTATCCATTGCTGCCAACATTTATCCAATAGACACTTTCTCGGGCCAGCGATTTTTATATATAGCCCAGGGGGGGGGGGGGGGGGGGGTAGTGGAGCACGCTCAGGTAAGGTGAGCGCATAAAGCTTAGCAGACTCTCCACGCTAACAAAGGATCACTTCTTCTTCAGGGCAGGGAAGGCTACGCATTACTGTCCCGCAGCTGTTGCCTCTCTGTTGGACTCCGGTACTGCACATTACTCACAAGACGTTGTAAAAAAAAAATGAGTGGGGGGCGAACGCACTAACCACTCCGCTAACGCCACAGTCACCCCCGCCGTGCGGGCCGGATGAGAATGTCTGGCGGGCCACCAGTTGATGATCACTGGTCTATGAGGACATCAAAACAATGAGACTAGCTAGAGAAATGCTAATTCTGTACAAAAAAGAAAATCACTTAATGCAGGTCTGCGGTTGTTGTTTATATTCTGCACAATTAATGGCTGCGAACGTAGAATAACAAAACCCTGATAGTATTTCTAGCACATGTGACGTAAGGGGCAGTGTAGACTACCGGTATTATCCTTTACAATCATATTCTGCACCTTTACCCGCACCATATAAAACAGGGCTTTTATCAAAACCTGCCTGACGCCCTTATACAGTCATAACAAGCATTACCTGAACTAAACATCCCACTCCGAACATTACCCAAAAGCACCAAATGGTGCCCGGCAATGCTGCGTCAAAAAAGTCCCTCCGCAGCAGAGGCAGTCCACGAGTAAAGGCTGGGAGTAATGGCGAGCAGGAGCGAGGGTTTTGCAGTGAGGTTGAAGGTTCAGCGTCGGGACACCGAGTGCGAAATTCAGGGTTTATAACATGTAGGATTGCAGACAGAGGCGCAACGTTCCACATGGGGGAAGGACAGGTCACTCTGCCGGCCACTGAAGGTAAGGGTGGGCTGCACATTTCGAAAAAGAAAAGGGCAGGAGTATCTGAAGGAAAACCTCACAGGGTCCTTAAAGCTCGTCCAGATTATTCAGACACATCTCAGGTCAGTTCTGAGGGAGTTCTTTGTCAGAATAAAACTGTCTTAGTAAGTATTCTAGCAGACAGCGCGCAGGACCGTCTCCATTACAACAATTGTCCAGGAGAAAATGTCTAAAAACGTCCAAGACAGAGCAAAGGTCTTCCATATTGCTTTCTAAAGAATCATTTAAACGTTCTAAATGTGATGTGTTTTGGTCACAGTTCCTATATATCCAAAAGAAGGTGATGCGCAGCTCTCCACCTTGCCTGCAGATGAGATGGGTGTGGAGGGGGAGGTTTGGAGGTGGGCTCAGTGGGACTCTCCGTTGACCGAGCTGCCCTCCCCTCTGGGTGAGGAGGAGCGGGAAAGCCCCTTCTCTGTGGTCTCTGAGCTGGAGCCGTTCTGGCTGTGGGGGTCGGCGGCGGCCACGGTGCTGGGCGGGGGGGCCGCGGTGGACGTGGGCTTGACCTTCTCCTTAAAGTCCGTGATGATGACCGTCAGGTCGCCGACCGTCACCTCCAGGTGCTGGGCGCTGCTCCGGTCGATGTTTTTTAACCTCGGCCTGGTGAGGGGGGGGGAAATGGACATGAGAGCGAGATAAAAACCAAGCTGTGACAGTATTTTCTAATCTATGGTCTTGTATTAGTGACAGACAACTTACAGATGAGTAGAAGGCAGTCTGTCCTTTATTGTAACCAACACAAGCACCAAGCTTTATGAAAAATAATGTGCAATGATGTTCACTCAGATAAAATCTTGAATGCAGCCATATTTTTCGCAGTCTAGAGCCATTTCCTTAGCCACTTACTTATGAGTCAAATCAAAATACTTGTTTATAGACTTATTCCTCTTTGATTCAGCCATGAGTGAAAGCACCTTGATCTTTTTTTCAAAGAGCATCTCCGAGACACTAATATGATTTTTGTACCTGGTGTTTCCCACCCTCATCAGGTTTATCTTTTGAAGCCCTTCATGAAATATGACAACCTCCCGTCAGGTGGCAGAGTAAACACCATCCACAGTTTCTCCTGTTTATTCATGCGTCCCTGGTATATCAGCTTACCTCATCTTCTTGTGACTGTTCTTCTTGAGCGCCGGCTCTCTGTCGCTCTTCTCCTTCTCTACCTTCTCCTTCTTTTCCTTTTTGGGCTGCGAGGGCAACACGAACTGCTGAGTTACCTGCTGCTGAGAGACGAGCTGGGAGACGGGACGAGGCTTCCTGATCCGGGGGGAGAGGAAGGGGGAGAGACAGAGCGAGGCAGATTAATGAGAGGGAAAATCACAGTGAGCACATGGCTCCATGCAAGCGCAGCACCGTAATCAAGAGGCAATAATCACTGCCAGTGTCGGTTAGGATGGTGCTGCGGAAGTGTTTTTAACACCGGCAGCGAGTGGCTCCACACACTGAGGATAAACCCGTATTCAGCCATCTGTGAGACGTGAACCTGCTCAGACTTGTTCCAGGACGCAGTGATAAACATCACGAGCTGAGGGAGCTTTCTGCGAATTGTACAATACTCACGTCACCTAGGAATATTAAATCTTTTAGATTGTTTTAATTGTCTATTGTTTTTTACTTGTACTTGTTTTATGGTGTGTGAGCTGTGCTGTGTGATTGTTGGTATGTTCATTTGACTGTACAGCACTTTGGTCTGGAGGTTTTAAAGTGAAAGCTGTATTGTACCGTATCACACTGTACATTTATAGCAATTATCTTATTTTTTACGTTAATATCATAATGAATAGGAATACACCATTATATATGATGTATTATACACATCTATTGATATATGTTATGTGGTAAAATGTGCCCCTTTTTTACATTTTATTATGTATTTATTGACATGGTCTATCCATACTAAAAAACATTTAGCAGTTAAACTAAAATCTCATAACCGTTCTTTCTATTTTTTTTAAACGCGCACAATATGCACATTTTGACTTGGCATGATTGTTAAATATTTTTATTTTGCTGTATTTTTGTTCTCAAATGCAGCAACTGTTACAATGAGTTTATTGTAATTTCGTTGTACCTGTACAATGACAAAATTAAAGATCTATCTATCTATCTAATAATGCATTCCCACCACAGGATAAATAAAGTATTCTGAATACAAACGTCCAATACAAATGTTAATTGTAAGTGTGCAAATTACACTGAATTAATTATTTTATAAAAATAGCACTCACGTTTTTATAAAAATGTTCACACCCGGGGAGAATTGTAGTCGTTTATCCGAAATGTGGAATGACCTGATTCTCCTGCGCTGCAGTTTGTGTATTTAATAACTCAAGGCGTGAAGTATGACACCTGTGGGTGCTTCATGTAACAAACAGTCGTCACTCCTTCATGGACTTGATCCCTAACTGGATTACCACCTGTGTTAGTATAAACACATTATTCATGATGGGTTTCTAAGGTTTGGATTTCAGGTTACGTACAAAACAGTCATGTTTTGCTGCCTTGCTCTAAAGGTCATGTTCTAGTGACGTTGATGCGCCTTCATATACAGAACGCTTAAGGCAGATCTGATAATAGAACTCGTTCTCAAACACCTACATGTTCGTCCTCACAGGGACATTTCGATCCTCCATGAGTGCCTGCTGTCTCAAAATTGATGCATTATGCAACCGGTCTGGCAAGACTTTGCACGCATGAAGGCTGCGATCGTATTTCTGTGGCACTGTGTGTGTGTGTGTGTGTGTGTGTGTGTGTGTGTGTGTGTGTGTGTGTGTGTGTGTGTGTGTGTGTGTTTAGGGGCTGGCAACAGTCCTAGCTTAGAGGCAAGTGTGTTGAAAAGGCCATCTGTTGAGAGAGACTACACCATCTAGTGCCTGATTTTCCACGGGCATACACACTCCCACATGGACACTGTTGTATGTATGAATGCACATCGTAGCATGCACACACTGCACCAAAAAGCCAGAGTGGGGTAAACGAATCAGAAATGGAAACTCATGCATGCTTTATAAACACACTTTAAAGGGGACATGCAAAAGGGGACTGCACACACACGAGGGCATGATAAGAAGAGTGTGTTGTCATATTTCAAGCTATACATCCACACATTTCCTAACTCATCAGCTAGTTTGTGTGAAATTGGGATCAATAAAGTATATCTTAACATATCTTATCTAAATTGCTGCTCATAAAATGCACAAGAATGTATGCTAGGAGTGAATTGCAGCTTTCAAACACTGCACAGTAAATCAGCTTTATTCACTAACCTGCGTATGAACCCGTCGAGGAGTATCGCAATTACAAAACAATGGCCTCCAGGTGCTTCCTGAAGAAAATGCCCTTTTGCACTTAATGTAATTATAAGGGTGACACAGTACAAGCACAGAGAGGACTCGTGCACTGGACTTGACAAAGTACATCCATAAAATGAGCTTGAGAACGTAACTGAAAAAGAAATGTCGTTTGGCCTTTTTTCGAAATGTATGAGCTTTGGCTGCTGGTTTTGTTCTCAGGGCAAGTCTGTTGTTTAACAGTTCTGGGATGACCTAAATTGGGGCAGAGCTTCAAAGAGTCTCTCCCAGAGTTGTGTTTTTTCTTTTTTATCATCGCCTTCACAGAACATGCAGTGATGCTTGCGAGGCTGGAGTGAAATGCAAATGGGTCTCTTGGCCTACATAAGCGTCTGATAGGGAGGAGATGTCGAGATCCTCTGTCTTGTCAGCACGACGCTGCGGAACTGCTGACACCTTTTAAACAAAAAGAGGACTCTTTAAATCCTCTGTATCCAGCTCCAGTAATCTGCGGCAATCTGTGACATCCTTTCAGAGCAATACGATGAAGAAAATATCTGTCTTTTTTTAACTTAATTTAGCGAGGCTCGCACACAAAACGTGTCTGGTCCACGCTGCCCCCAGGCCAAATGTTACCAGCCTCCAAACAACAACAACAAGACGACCGTTTGTAACCCTTTGGGATTTGTTATTTCTGTTCAGGATGTCATCATGCACTTCCTGTTATTAACGGATAGAGTTACAGATGAATTACTGCTGCCATTACCTCATTAATGCAGCAAACGGGTGCTGTATGTTTCGCTTGATGCACGATCAAGAAAGAATGCCGCCTCAGGCTAATCATGATCTTCTCTATTCAAAACTAAGACTGGCTGCGCCCGAGAGGCAATTCTTTTGTACATTCTACCTTCTCCAAGTGTGACAATGAAGTAGATTTCCACTAATAGAGCCAGCTCAATAACCTGGAGGTGAGAGAGGAGAAAAGCTGATACGACTGTGAGGCAGAGCAGCAGGCCTACACAGAGCTGCCTCTGTTAACCCAATCAAACGGTTATTATCTTAGCACTTAGGCCTCCATCTGGAAACGGAGTGTGTGTGTGTGTGTGTGTGTTTGTTTGTGTGTGTCTATTGATTCCAACAGGAAATTCTAGGCCTAATGTAAGAGCCCTATTCTTTCAGACATTAATACAGCGTGTTGAAACTGTTGTTCCGATCAATATTTGCTCCACTCATGCTTTATTCCACAGCAGCTAATGGAGATCCTCACTGGGAAATGAGGATGTTACGAGGACTTAAACCCGCCAAATGCTTTTGTTCCTGAAAATATAATCACAATCTCTCTTTTTTTTGTATCTCTTTCAATGTAGAGAGGAAAACATGTTGGAGACTAAACAGGAACTACAGTTTAATAATGTTTCATTGCATGGGGAAATGTGAAAATGTCATGTCACAATGATATCTGCAACCTACGATATTATCCCACATGTCATCCACATGTGCTTTAAATGGTACTAATGTGTACTGGAATCATTTTTTACAAATTGCTTTTGTTGCATAACAGATATGCGCATATCTTTTTTGAGTCAAAAACAAAAATGTATAAATAAAGATAATAAAAAAAACCATAAGATTTCCCTTCATGGATAAAACATATCAACATTGTGTTAGTCTGTTCTTCGTGTACGATCATTTCAAGCTCTATGTCCAATGCTCTTGTATGTATTTAACCGTGAGACAGCAAGACAGCATTTTCAAAAGTCAAAACTTACCAACGTTTTTTATAGGAATGAAATATCACCACATCCTAGCTTTTTCTTTGACGCAATGTGTTCGAGTTCACTTCTGCTCACGATCCATTACTTGGTCATTCTAACATTTCCAAAGCGCGAGTGTAAATAATCGAAAATGTTAACATTGCAATACGAACAAGTGCAATATTCAAATCGCAGTTAGCGCAGTATTTGTTAAAGGTTCATTGATATCATTCTACAGACGTAAAAAACCTATTTGTACTTAAATGATGCTGAGGATGATGATACAAACTGACCAGTCGCTCCAATATCATGAGTCACATCGCAATATCAGTCAAAAATAATCACAAATAGTAACTTTCTAAACCGTGCGGCCTTACAAAACACTCCACCATTTTCCAACAGACGAAGCGTGATTTCGCTTTGTAGCCACAAGCTAACGACACGCTCTCCCTGTGCTGCAGGAGCTGGAAAGTACAAACGCTGCTAGTCATCCTGCTACATTTCACTGACGGGGAAACTCTGGCTGACCCTTCTGTAAACACAGAGTTTAGCGCTATCTCTCCCCCCCCCCCTCGTCCGACCTCTCACTCCTCCACCAACAAAACAGTCGAGGAACCAGCGCTGCCAGGAAATATCTCCTCAGGTCCAGATTTGGTAACAAAACAAATGTATTATGACTCAGGGCCACAGCGGACAAACAGGTCATCAACACCACAGTCAGTACAGAGGGGAGGGGGGGGGGTCTGTTTATAGACCTATCATAATAACTTGCCTAAAGTGACTATAAGTGCTCTCGTCTACTTATCCTTGCTGTTGTCCTATAGGGTCAAATGAGACGTTCCTATATGTTTATGTTAATAATATATAAGGGAGGCGTGTGGTGCAGTGGATTGGTGTTTGGATCAGGGGTCACAGGTTCAAACCCCACTGCAGTCAGCATGTGTCCCTGGGAAGACACTTCACCCCAAATTGCTCCTGTGGGGATTGTCCACAGTATTGAGTATGTAAGTCGCTTTGGATAAAAGCGTCCAAGTAACATGTAATATTATTAATGACCACTACGCGCTGCCTTTAAAAATGGTTTCAAAACAGAATCCGGACAAAATTTATGTGGCTGAGAATCCATCAAGATATGTTCCTCTGATCTTACCTGTAGTCAAAATAATTATAACTTTTTGCTTCGTTTTACTCAAAAATAAGGATGAATTTTGTGTAAATGATGTCTTGAGGACCAACTTCTTTAATTCCACACTTTGAAAGGGAGAAACCATTCAAGTTTAGGGTCTATCCAATTCACAAACCTGTTAATATGAGGTGTACTGATGTAACTTCCATACTCAAAAACAAGTGTTTGAGTATTACATTGAAATATAGGGCAGTCCATAGAGTTAAGATAGTATAACTATTAGCAGTGAAATTATTTAGATTTTTTTTTCAACACTCTCATAGGTGTTTTTAGATCTGACAGGGCACCTCTGGCCTTTATTCCAAAGCATTTACACTTTCAAAATGTAAACTGGTTCCATGCTAGAGCTGGGCGATGTATGAAAGTGTAGGATCCGTTATGATTTGGGCTTTAAAAAATAAAGCACATCATCATGCTGGATTTGTTCACAAAGCGTGCATTTTCTATAATAAATCTAGTACAATCTTTTCCTTTATGGTTACACTTTTATGAAACTAGAGGTCAAACATTAATTCCCATTCATCTAAGCTCTTATGTTTTCTTTTAAAGATGCTTATTTTAACATAGTCGTGCATTCCCAAAGACAGCACGAGGCTGAATTCTGCAGAACTGCTGGCTCACGAAACACGGTGTGAGGAGCAAACATCCCACAGGACAGCTCAGGAGAACGCTTCTCTAAACAGATC